TCTGAATGTTAAAAATGTCAAGACTGTTCAGTTTTTTGGGGGGGGGGGGGTCGATTATGCAAAGATTTCACTATCAATTTAACAGTTTTGCAATTATTATTTTTAATTATTAACCTAGTTTACTGTAACATTGCCAGATTTGTCATCTATAAGTTCAAGGACCATTCCAGTTATTCAACACTGGTCCTGCTGGAGCTTAAGTTGTATTATTTCAGTTAGTGAAATAGCTATGGTAGACGTCCTTGTCTTCTTTCTAAGCTCCAGTGTTCTTGTTTGAATTCACAACTGCAATTCAGCTATACTTTAACTAACTACTTGAAAGGTGGTTATAAGTGCCTGAAACAGACTACCCTTGTGACACACAGAGAAGAATTTACTTACAAATTACAATTCTTACTTTTGTGAGACTTTAAATATGAGTGTTCTTCCCACCCAGTTATCATCTCTCTGCTACCTCAGAGCTAGACAACATTACCTTTGGTGGTGTCACTCCATAAATTTAATAATGATTCCAAACAGTGCATGTGTGACACAGAGGCCCATTTATGGCTCACTACTCTGTGTCTGAAACTCATGTCAGACCTGACATGCTTACTATACCTAGCACACTGATATATACCCAAAAGGTGGTATATTATCTATTACTGGAAAACTAGCAATTCACTGGTCATTAATATTCTTGCATGATGTATGTATGCTGTGTGTACAAAGAATTATCAATATGTATTAGAATTACATTCTTAATATGGGTTTGGTAAGCAATGTGTAAGCCCAATTTGCCTTAGACAATGGAATGTGTATTTGTTTGTCTGACCAACGTGGTAGACAGGCAGAGAAAATTAAGGCACATTTACATAAGAGGTAAACAAAGCCATCAACCTACTGAGGGGGGAGATAGCCTCTTAACTACAAAAACTGGGGGTAAACCTCAAATAATAAGTAATTGAATCAACTGAGTGTATACAACAGTACTGTATTATAAAAGTGTATCAAGTAAGGGCTTTTATGAAAGCTAATGACACAATGGTCATTAATATAATTTGAAAGGTATGTATTAACCCTATCAAAGGAATTGTGGCTAATCACTAATATTATGCTTTAAAGTCTGTGACCAAACAAAGGGAGAGAAACAGTTCTCTCCAGACAAGAGGGAAGACAGATATCTACTTTTCTCCCAATGAAAATAAGCAAAGTGTGACCACAAACAATGGAAACCCCATTTACATATGAATAAGCAGGGGGATGGGCATTCCACAGGAGAGGAAGAACAGCATGAGATCATCCTGCGTTTGGGGACCAAAACAGTGAGCTTGCTAAGATACAAGATGAGAGAGGCAGCCATCTTAGCATCCATCACTGGACAGACACAAGGGGCCAGAGCTCTTGCAAGCTGAGAAAGATGCATCTTTTGACCAAGGGGGTGGAAGTCTCTGGGAACTGAATATAGGTGAGAAACATGCTTAGGCAAAGATCTTTCACCTAAGTAAACAAGGGAAACCAGAACCTTGTACTTCTGTAGAAGATCCTGACTGAGCGAGTCAGTTGTGGCTGGAAAGAAAAAGATCAGTACAAAATCTACCTTGAACAAGGTTGTAGCTTTTAAGTCTTAGCCACTAGAAAGCTGGTAACCATTTTGTCTTTGTCCTTTGTACTAGAACTCACTGAAAATCTCTTTTTGTTAAGAAACTTGTTTTACTGTTAATCTAAACCAAGCCAATGCTGTGTTTGGACTGAAATTATTGTTAAAAGCACAGCTTACTACTTTAACAGGAGTTGTCTCTTTAAAGAAGCAATAAACCTTATTACTTCTCTGAGTGTTCCAGAAGAGGGCTGTACACTTCAGGGCTGAGGGTTTTGGGTAAATGTTGGACAAGGAGTTTATTGGGGTTGCCCTGCATATAGTAATTACAGCAGATGAAGACAGGGTGGGGCTGTTGTGTTGCTGGCAGACTGGTGGGGTCAGAGTGCTGAACCAGGGTTGCACAGCACAGAGAGGCTCAGGAAACTGCATGCTTGTCTGTGGGCTGTTGGTGTCTGGGCTGTGAGCCACCACAGCAGAGCACTGAAGGCACCCAGGGTTACAAGGCAGGCAGTAACACAACTTTTTACTGGTCTGAATTGCACCCCAAAATGTGACAGCATAATATTTAGAATCAGCAGGATCGATTTACTCAGACTGGCGTGGTAAATTACATGTCTCGTCACCAGTACATGCCTTGGGGGATTCACCCTGAGGAAAGACAGGCAGTATTTCCACCTTCTCTCCCTCAGGGTTTCTGTTTAAGAAAGCATCTCAAAATTGTGGCTGTCAAAAAAGCCCTAGTGGCAGAGATGTCTAAGATACATTAAAATAGCATATACCCTGTCCTCCCTGGTTGTGAATTATTTGTTTTTAAGTCTGTGTTGTACACTTCTGGGCCTCACAATGAGGAGAAAGTATTGGCTGCTTTCTGTCACTGCAAACTCTCCACCTCAAAAGTCTTTCTGTCAATAGGGGCCTTGCCATAAGCCACACTGACTCCCTGGCAGTGAACCTGGGACAGTCATTTTGTATCTATAAAAATAATATTAAATCATACTTGAGTACAATTAATAGTCTTAAATAGAAATGTAAATTTCCTTCCCCAATCCCTCCAGATCAAAATAATTAATTATAAATTATTATTTAAATTATCTTAATTTGATTAGATAATTTTAATCTAGTTTGAAAGCTAGTCATCTCAGCCTCTATCATACACAGTATAAACAATTTAATCAAGTGCTTCCCTTTACCCACTATCATCATCTACACCTTTCTCAGGTTTTGCTTCATCCAATTATTCTTTATTCAGCCACTGTATAGAATCATAGAATATTAGAATTGAAAGAGACCTCAGGAGGTCATCTAGTCCAATCCCCTGCTCAAAGCAGGAGCAACACCAACTAAATCATCCCAGCCAGGGCTTTGTCAAGCTGGGCCTTAAAAACCTCTAAGGATGGAGATTCCACCACCTCCCTAGATAACCCATTCCAGTGCTTCACCACCCTCCTAGTGAAAAAGCTTTTCCTAATATCCAACCTAGACCTCCCCCACTGCAACTTGAGACCATTGCTTCTTGTTCTGTCATCTGCTACCACTGAGAACAGCCTAGCTCCATCCTCTTTAGAACCCCCCTTCATGTAGTTGAAGGCTGCTATCAAATCCCCCCTCACTCTTCTCTTCTGCAGACTAAATAATCCCTTCTGTAGTGGGGGGACCAAAACTGACACAATACTCCAGGTATGGCCTCACCAGTGCTGAATAGAGGAGAATAATCACTTCCCTCGATCTGCCGGCAATGCTCCTACTAATATAGCCCAATTTGCCATTGGCCTTCTTGGCAACAAGGGCACACTGCTGAGTCATATCCAGCTTCTCGTCCACTGTAATCCCCAGGTCCTTTTCTGCAGAACTGCTGCTTAGCCAGTCAGTCCCCAGCCTGTAGCAGTGCATGGGATTCTTCCTTCCTAAGTGCAGGACTCTGCACTTGTCCTTGTTGAACCTCATCAGATGTCTTTTGGCCCAATCCTCCAATTTGTCTAGGTTACTCTGGACCCTAGTCCTACCCTCCAGTGTATCTACTAGCTTAGTGTCATCTGTGAACTTGCTGACGGTGCAATTCATCCTATTATCCAGATCATTAATAAAGATGTTGAACAAAACTGGCCCCAGGACCGACCCCTGGGGCACTACGCTTGATACCGGCTGCCAACTAGACATCAAGCCATTGATCACTACTTGTTGAGCCCGACAATCTTGCCAGCTTTCTATCCACCTTATAGTCCATTCATCCAATCCATACTACTTTAACTTGCTGGCAAGAATACTATGGGAGACAGTATCAAAAGCTTTGCTAAAGTCAAAGATATATCACATCCACCGCTTTCCCCATATCCACAAAGCCAGTTATCTTATCATAGAAGGCAATCAGGTTGGCCAGGCATGACTTGCCCTTGGTGAATCCATGTTGACTGTTCCGGATCACCTATATTGGAGATGCTTCTCTTAACATTTAATACAAGGGATAATTGGGGTTGCTTCATCAGCATGTTACTGGCATAGCCACATTTATACTCTAACAGTTTGGTATAGGTGTTAAATAAGATGGGAAGAAAGGATTGAGCCTTTTAGAACTCTGGAGGCAAAGGAGCAGTTCCCCATACTGACCCTCTAGAACACTGATGGGCAACCTGCAGCCTGTCAGGGTAATCTGTTGGTGGGCCACGAGACAGTTTGTTTACATTGCGCATCCGCAAGCACGGCCACGGTTTGCTGTTTCCAGCCAATGGGAGCTGCGAGAAGCGCTGTGGGTGGCTGTGCCTACGGACGGTCAATATAAACAAACTGTCTCGTGGCCCGCCAGTGGATTACCCTGATGGGCCGCAGGTTGCCCACCACTGCTCTAGAATCAATCTGTGATGTACGATCAAAACCATTTTGGATTATTTCCATTAAACTCTGGTACATCCTTATGTTATTGGAGAGCAGTATTCTACAAATCACTGAAAGGAATACTATGGAGAGATCCAATAATGTGATTATAGTTGTATGCTTTTTGGCCATAAAGGAGATAATCCACCAGTATGAGCAAGACTGTCTGTATGCCATATGCTACCTGAAACTTGCCTGAGAGTGGTCTGTGAGCGGGTTCCTGGAAGGGTCACAGAGAATGCCATACTCAGGGCAGACTTCAAGAAATATGGCAGACAATCGCCCCAAACTGGTGGTTTATTCTATAATTAGATTCACCAAGCCTGTAGCGAAAGAGCTTCTGCAGAACCACACTGGCTAACCAGAAGCCAAACACAGTCCCTTTTAGGCTTTCCAGCCTTTGGCTCCCTTCCAGATAAACAGGTCTAAGAGGGGTTATTGGAAACCTAATTCACCATACATGATGTTCTACCAATCCCAAAGGATTAAACGCTTACCCTCATATCAGTATGTATTTCAGATCTTACCCAAATACCACGCTGTCAGCCAATCCTTAGTAAACTAAAGATTTATTAATAAAAGGGAAGAGTTATAAATGGTTATTGATAATATACAACTATACAAATTATTGTAAAGTCCTTATATCAGATTTTTAACGATGGAATAGACTGCTGGCTTCTAAAGTCTCTCTGGTAACTTCCAAAAGATTGGAAGGTTCTCAGCCCAGAGTTCAAGATGCTCCTTTTAGTTGTAAATCCACAGCCCAGTGAATTATAGCAAAAAGAGGCAAAATGGAGGAGTCTCAGAGGACTTTTGTATCCTTTGGTCATGTTCATGGAAGTTTACTGTCCCAACAAAGCCCACAGCCCGTCTGTGGAAAATTAGTGGCCCAAGATGGACTCGTAACTAGTGGGGTGCAGGGGAAGCAGCCGCTTCTCCGCAGCACATTTTCCAAAAGCAGCGTGCCTTAGTTAGGGGTTACCATAGCGCCAGCAGGCGGGGCCCACACTCTGCTCTGAAGCTTGGCCTGCCAGCCGGTGCTGAACTCCTATGGGCAAGGGGGGTGGGTGGGAAGGGGCTGGTCCCTGCGGTGGGGCGGGGCGGCACCGGGCACAGGAAGCAGAAAACAGCAGGGCTGGTACCGGGAGCAACATGGAGCGGCCGCGAGAGGTGGGTGCGGGTGGCCCAGCTCCCCCTGCCTGGGGCTCCCCTCGCCCGCTACGGGCTCCTCTTCTGCAGCACTGCCCTCCATGGGGCTGGGGCTCTCCCCGGGCTCTGCCCTGCACGCGCCTAGCACCCCTGGGGCTGCTCCTGCCTCTCCGGGCTGGTCCCAGATCCCCTCCCCTGGGGGGCTGGGGTCCTGCTGCGGCTTGCGCCCCTCTGCCTCCTCCACAGGGCAGGCAGCCCGCCCCAGGGGGTTGAGGCCATGCCACCCCTTCCCCAGCTTCTCCCTCCAGCAGCCCCCGCACCGCCCTGCCTGTTCAGCCCTCAGCGCCATCGGGTCCTGCCCTGCCTCATGCAACCGGCCCCTACCGTGGGGCAGCCCGGCCTGGGGGAGCCACAGCAAAGCCCCACCCATAGCTGGTGCAGGAGACGAGCCTGGCTCTCAGCCCAGGCTCCAGCATCAGCCTGCAGCATGGAGTGGAGCCACCCCCGCCGGCTCAGCTCAGCCCCGCCCCGCTCTTAAAGGGACATGGACCCCACTGCATCTCGGCCGGGGGCACTTGGGGGTGTCACCTCACCCCCCACCTAGGGGGGCCCGGCGAGGGGGGTGCTCAGCACCATAGCAACACAGAGGGGACCCCATGGGGGGGTGCAGAGCAGCCAGAGAAGGAGCCAAGAGGGGGGACCTTTTTTATGTTTGCTCCCCCTGCTCTTAGAACCTGGCTATGCCACTGAAATGGAGTCCAGGGTTACAAGAGCATATCACATGTCCTTGCATGGTTTGCTGAATCACAGGGGGCGGCCATTGGATCCTCATTGTCTGAAGCATCTTCAGTAAGAGCCAACTGGGTGAGAGGAGTTTTTTTCAATGGCCCATTGTGGGAGCTGAGAGTCCTTGATGGGCTATCAATACACTGCTGTCTAGCCTTGATGTAATTGTATCTGGAGGGTGTCACCTAGGAACAAAACACAGGTTTAAGATACAAGCACATAGCCAATATTCATAACATCAGATACAAAGATGATACATGTGTATATTGTGACAAAGTTCTGTCCTTGACTCCGTGGGTCCTGCGTTTCCTGACGGATTTTTGCTAGCCTCAGAGGCTCACCGTGACCCTCCACATAGCCCTTCTCTCTCTAGAGGCAAGGGTCACAGTCTACTGAGCCATTTTCATCATAAGCCAGCAAGGGAGGTGAGGAGAAACAACCCTCCCTCACACAGTCTCTATTGTCTCCCAGTATCAGTGATTAACCAGGGAGGGGTGGGGGGAGCCTAGGCCCGCCCTCTACTCCAGGCTCCAGCCCAGGGACCCTAAACTTAGCAGCTATGAAAGCTGACTTTTTGGAAATAGGGCATGTACAATTCCCTGGGCTATTTCCCCACAGCAGCCCCCATTCAATATCTTCTTCACAATTACCTCAGGGCCTTCTTCCTTGCACCTGATATGGATTCATACCTCCAACAGCACAGCTCCCTCCTATAGCTCCTGACACCCACACCACACTGATTAACTGAGAGGCTTTTAACTAGTTCTAGCCTGTCCTTGATTGGCTTCAGGTGTCTCAATCAATCTAGCTGTCTCTTCTGCCTTCTAGAAGGATCTTAATTGGCCCCAGGTGTCTTGATTAACCTGGAGCAACTCCCATTTGGTTACTATGGTACCAGGGATTTGTTTAGCCTGGGGCTAACATACCTGTTCCTCACTACTTTATTGTAGCCATCTGGCCTTGCCCCATCACAATATATAAACAGGATAATAGTACTTAGCAAATAAATTTACCATTGACACTTTACATCAGTGGGTCTTAACCTGGGGTGCACCTTAACCTGCGAGATGCCCTTTCTGGGGGTGCGAGACATGCCAAATCTTTTTAGAAGGTAAATCATCAAAAACACAAATTAAGCACAGGCACGTAAGTATAACTACTTTGTTTCATCAAACTTATGTATTTATTAACATTATACATTTTTTAACGATTACTGTAATATACAAAAATATATCTAGGTTTAAGGGGTGTGAGAACATATTTTTTAGGTTGAAGGGGTGCAAGAACATATTTTGATTTTTGATAAGGGGTGCGAGAACATATTTTGAGAACCAAAGGGGTGCAGGCTGCAGTAAAGGTTAAGAACCACTGCTTTACATGATACACTTTGTATAAGCTTTATGGTAATTGTGTAATAGTGGTAACAGCAGTGACACAAATCATCACCTTTTTTGTACACAGGGTCACAGGGTCCAAGATTAGAGGTGATCAAAATCAAAATTTACATCCAATAGGAAATTCCAATATTTCTACATTTGTGTACATCTTTAAACCAGGATGAAATGTTGAAATATTAACTTTGGGTGGAATTAAAAATCTCAAAAAAATTCAGGGATACACTGCAGTCATGGACACCCATGATGCAATTCAGTCAGAAGAGAGACCATAATGCATCTACACTGCATCATGGGAGATGTAGTCTGGTAAGGGAGCCCAGACGGTAGGGGAAAATGGGTGCATGGGGCACCTGAACTACAACTCTGGTGAGCTGCCACAACAGTTCAGGCAGACAGTTTAATGTCAAATTGGTCTGAAAGTAAATGTTTCTCTTTGTCTGAACAAACCAAAGTGTTTCAATATGGGACAATATTAGCTGAAATTAAATAATTAGTTTCATTTTTCTCAACATAAAAGAAACTTGGAAAAATCAAAAAAACTGGAAAATTTTGATTTTGTGGAAGCCCCATATTTAAAAAACAAACAAACAAAAACCCAATAGCACCACAAAGATATTTCCAGTTCCTGAAACCTGCTGGAGTTTAGATTATTTTGGCTCATAGTCTCCAAATTGTACTGTCAAAATAGAAATACATGTTCATGCTCCTGCTTGACCAGAAAAATCCAGACTGACGACACGCTCCATCCAGATTTTGTCACAGAAAATGTAATGTACAGAAATAAAAGCCACTAAATGAGACTGATTCATGAAATCTGTGGCTGTTGGGGAAAAAAAAAGTAGAGAGTATATGGGAACCCTATTGATAAAGGTTGTCAATATTTCCTTTGAAGAGGGGAATCTACTGTCCATCAGAAAGTACTCAATAGTGTAGTCAGGACTCAAAAAACTATTACTTGTTGCCTAATTTCTCATTTCTGAAAAGTTAGAATTAACTTTTCAATTATCTTCACTTCTCCACTGCAAATATCTTGGCTAGAGAAGCTGGAAATTTTCCATCTGTATTTTTTCAGCAGAAAATGGGGCTCTCCTGAAATCAAAATTGTAATTGCTGTATTGAGGTCTGGATTTTTCCAACAGAACTGAAAAAAATGCTCTTCTTGATTTAGCTGGTAGGATTTGGGGGATTGGGATAAAAGAAGTTGCTGGAATCAGCTTGTTTTTGCAATTCTGCTGTACTTTTTGCAACAGGCATTTAAGGTCATCACGATTTGGTACATTACTTTTTATTCAGATACTAGAATTCAGAAGCTTGGGATTAAAACCTAGCATGATCCAGCATGAGCTAGGTACCAGCTGGTAATTTTTCCAGTGCTATTGGACCAAGATGTGTCAGAGGTAGGGTTGCCAGGTGTCTGGTCAGCGGCGTCCGGTTGAGGTTGCCAGGTGTCTGGTCAGTGGCGCAGCGGGACTAAGGCAGGCTCCCTGCCTGTCCTGGCTCTGCATGGCTCCCGGAAGCGGCCGGCATGTCTGGTTCCTAGGTGCAGGAGTGGGCACAGGGGCTCCACGCACTGCCCCTGCCCTGAGTGCTGACTCCACAGCTCCCATTGGCTGGTAATTGGGAGCTGCGGGAGTGGCACCTGCAGGTGCGGGCAGCCCACAGAGCCACCTGGTCCCTCCTCCTCAGAGTCGGACATGCTGGCCGCTTCCGGAAGCTGCCTGAGGTAAGCATCGCTTGGCTGGAGCCTACACCCCGAATCCCCTCCTGTACCCCAACCTCCTGTCCCAAGTTGGAACCCCCTCCTGCACCCTAACTTCCTCCCAGAGCCTGTATCCCAACCCCCTAACCCATCCCTGCACCCCCTCCCGCAGCCTGCACCTCCTCCCGTGCCCGCACCCCCTGTCCCAGCCCTGAGTCCCCTTCTGCACCCAAACTCCCTCCTGGAGCCTGCACCACAATCCTCTGCCACAGCCCTGAGCTCCCTCCCACAGCCAAACTCCCTCCCAGAGCCTGCACTCCACACCCTCTCCCGTGCCCAGCTCCCCTGCCCCAGCCCTGAGCCCCCTCCTGACCCCAAACCTCTCACCCCAGAGCCCACACCCCCTCCCACATCCCAACCCCCTACCCTATCCCGGAGCTCCCACCCGCACCCTGCACCCCTCAGTACTGGCCCCAACCCAGCGCTCACACCCCCAGCAGGAGCACTCACCCCCTCCCACACTCCAACCCCCTGCCCAGAGCCGCTCATTTCTAGCCCCACCATGGAGCCCACACCCCCAGCCAGAGCCCTCACGCCATCCTACACCCCAACCCCCGGGGGGAAGCCGGTACAGCAAGGGTGGACCGGCTTCCTGTCAACCCTGTTTAGCCGGTCCACCCTTGCTGGGGGGGCCCGAAAAAATTCCGGGGCCGGCTTCCCCCTGCAAGTGGGGGAGGAGGTGAGAGCCAAAGACAGCCAGGCGGGATCCGGGTACCTCCGGCTCTTGCCTTATCCCGGGGCACAAAGTTTGGGGTGGGTCACCCCTATTGCATCCCCCTTTTTGCTCACACTCTCGTCCCTGCGTCCGCAGAGCCCGGCGTGGCGCCTTATACCCGTCTGCAGTCGGCCTCTGCCCAGCACTGCAGCCAGCAGCAACCACCCTGCCCAAGTCCCCACGCAGGCGCCCTGCGCGCGCCCTCAGGCTTGAGCTGCAATCGCGCATGCGCCGACCCCGGTTTAGTTTTGGAGCGCAGCGCCTCGGTCACCTGATAGCAACAGCGGCGGCCGGGGAGCGTCCATGGCAGCGGCGGCCCTGCCGGACTCGGAGCCATGATGAGAACTTCCGCTTCCTCTGCCGCCGCTGCAGGGCCCGGCCGCGCCTAGGCCGCGGCGGCTCCCCCTGGAGGCCGAGGCCGTGGCCGTGCCCCAGCCGGGCAGGGAGGGGGCGCGATGCGGCCGCCGCTGCGCTGGCTCCTGACCGGGCTGCTGCTGGGAGCGCTATGCGAGGAGGCTGCCGGGGCGAACAGCGACCCGCCGGCCCGCTCGACGCCCCCGCAAGGCAGCACCCCCGGGGAGGCGACGCGGAGCAGCAATGGCAGCAGCAGGGCCCCGCCCGAGCGGGACCAGCCCATGACCCAGCGCGCCCTGGCTGTGCTCGTGGTGGCCAGCGGCGCCCTCATCGTCTACTTCGTGATCCGGACCGTGCGGTGAGGGGCCAGGCGGGCGGGGGATATAAGCCCTGTCGGGCTCCCCCGGGCGCGGGGGGTCGGTGCTTCCCCTGCAGTGTCCCACCTCCGGGCCCGGGTGCAGCGGGGCTGGCCGTGGGGTGCGAGGGTTTCTCGCTGCACACGCCGGGGGATTTGCTAATGAGCGCTCAGGTGAGGTGTACGGAGCCAAACACTGCGTGCAGCCTGTCCCGGGGCCATCCCGTGGGGTACGACACGGACATCTCGCGCTGTGCATCCTCTGCGGGAGAAACTGCACTGGCATTAGCCTTGCACCCTCCTGTGTCCATCACCTTCGGTTCCTTAGCTGTTTTGCCTTCTTACTGATGGCAGGTACTTCGGGCTGCGCTTTCTAGTGAGGAGCAGTTCTTTGCCATCTGCCTTGGACTGAATGTCACAGGTCAAGTACCATTCTAAAATGTTGACAGCATAGTTATAGATGTCTAAATATAAATACAATGTCACACGTTAATCCCAAGCACCTGTGTCACATTTTACTCCCATTCAGTCTTGCTGTAAGAATCCTCATTGTTTTGACCACGTTACCCCCTCTCCTTGCCCCTCTGCATGTCTACTCAAGCACATGTCTACTTGTCTTCACTTTTAATGTCCTTGTAGAGAAACATTGATTTAAAAGTCCTCTGTGACTTATCCTTGGCTACCTTTTGAGACTTGGGGCTGGTCTACACTACTGTTTAAGTCAATGTAACTTACATCACTCAGGGGTATGAAAAAGACAAGTTACAGCGACCTAAGCACTGTCCACTCCGGAGGTGGAGTATTGGCATATCCTGTCGGTATAGTGTGTCTGGTGAAGACACGCTATGCCAACGGGAGAGCACTCTCCCCTCGGCACAAATACTACAGTGGCGCAGCTGCATTGGTGCAACTGTGCCGATGTTGTTATTTTTCAAATTCTTTTTACGTTAAATTGAAGATGGTCTGTATCATAAAACCAGAAAGGGTAGTTAACTGTTGGAACAATTTACCAAAGGTTGTAATAGATTCTCTATCATTGGCTGTTTTTATGGAACTCTATGGCCTGTGTTTGGCAGGAGATAATCAGTAGTCCCTTCTGACCTTAGAATCTATGGATCTAAACCAGAAAAATGACCAAGTTTAGTGCTGGTTCTTACTCTATTTTGCCAGTTCAGCATATTTATTTAAAATAGGGTTACCAGTTTTCATTCAAGATAACGTGCATATGAGAGAAAGAGATACATAAATACAATCTGACATGTTTAATAGCGTCTAAGGCTGGAAAGGGCCATTGTGATCATTTAGTCTTACCTCCTGTATAGCACAGGCCATAGAACTTCCCCCAAATTATTCCTAGAGTGTATCTTTTAGACAAACATCCAGTCTTGATTTTAAAATGGCCAGTGATGAAGAATCCACCACAACCTCTTGGGAAATTGTTCCAGTGGTTAATTACTTTCACAGTTAAAAATGTAAGCCTTATTTCCTGTCTGAATTTGTCTAGCTTCAGTGACTAGCCATTGGATCATGTTATATCTTTCTCTGCTAGACTGAAGAACCCATATTTCAATTTGGTTTGTCTTGCTTCACCAAAGAGTGAATCTTGCATAGATGATCCAATGCAGAGATGCACTGTGTGATTGCCAAGCTTTAACTTGCAAATGTCTTAAAGATTTAACATATACCCCAAGTTGATTCACTTTTGTGATAAATTGATAATTTTTCATTAAAAGATGTAAGCTTCAAAGTTAATATTTGAGCCCTTCAGCAGTGTGCTAACCAATATATTGCATTATGTAACATCTCTTCTAAAAAGGAATATTATCATTTTTTGACAAGTAAGATCCAGAACACTCAGGTACATTAAGATGAGTGACCTAATTCCTTAAGTAGTCATAAAACTTTCTTTCAGCTGTAGTCTGGCACAACTGGTATTTTGCATCTTGGATTGTTTTCTCTGACATTAGTTTTCCCTATCCACGCTCTTTGATAGCTTGGAGTCTGTGCTGATTTTCCTCTCATTAATAAAATAGCAAGCATATATACTTGCATATGTGGAAAATATGCACTTATCGCTTGTTGGAAAGCTTGGAGATACATGGAGAATGAAAGCACTATATAGTGTGAAATTACTTTATTTTTAAATCCAGTTACTTTTATATGTTGGCAGAAATTTTGCATGGATGGTTATTGTTTTGTTTTGGGGGAGAGGCATATTTTCATGCAGCAAGTACCATCAAGCTTCAGATGTGATTCTTTAAGGAGACCTGTCAATTTTAAATTGACTTCACTCTTATTTACTTTTGTTACAAGTAATTCTTGTTATTGGGATATTTAGTGCAATGGATTAGGTACACCACGTGTCTTGAAAAGTATGTTTGGGTGGTTATTAATCATTGTAGCAGTGGAGATATGTCTGCAAGTTTTGCATCTGTTGTTCTGGCAGCGTCTGGTGCTGCTTCGAGTTTGTGTTTGTCTTGGACTGTGGGAAACTTGCTTCTGTTAATGAATTTGCCAGAGTTGGGGGGTTGTGTGAAGGCCAGAAGAGGGAGTTTGGGAAAGATTTCTTTCAGGACGTGGTCCCTGTCAAGCACAGATTCTAATTGTGTAATGATACCCTGTATGGTTTCTAGCATAGGGTGGTAGGTGACAACTAGGGGTGTGCGATTGCAGAGGTTTTTTTTCCATAATGAAGTAGGTTCTTTTGATACAGCTGTGCCCTGCAGCACATTTAGTGAAGACACTCTACGCTGATGGGAGAGAGAGCTCTCCCGTCAGCTTAAAAAAACCACCTCTGCAAGCAGCATAAGTGATATTGGCGGGAGAAGCTCTCACATGAATACTTATGTCAGTTTAATTTATGTTGCTCAGAGGGGTGAAATATTCACACCCTAAGTGACAAATTTTGCCAACAGAAGCTGTAGTGTAGACCTAGCCTAAAACTCATGGACTCAAAGACACTGGATTTATGGCTTAGTTAGAACAATCTATAACTCACTAACCCTAGAACTAGCCCTAGAACTGCAGAGATGTTAAACTGCCCACTTCACCTTGTATGGTTTTTTATAGCATGTTAATTCCTTATACTAAACAATCCACCCTCTATTAGCTGTGACACTCTGAGTAGCTTTTCAGACCTGAAGAAGAATTCTGTGTAAACCCAAAAGCTTGTCACTTTCACCAGCAGAATGTTGTATGTCTGAGTTAGTGATGACTCAAGATTGTTGAAAAATAGGCTCAATTGGAATTATTTAATCAAAGATTATCAACCAGAGATTAGTACAGGACTATATAGAGTATAGAAAGAAAAGATACATTGCCACTCTGTTGTCAGATCTAAGGTGGCTCTGTGTCTTTCCTTCACTGTATCTGGAGGGGTATGCAGTTTCATTCCCCAACTTAACTTCTCATACCAGTGTCGTCATATAGGGTTTTTGCCAAAGAAATGTTCTGATGTCAATTCTATACATTCTCGGTTTACCTGATTTATATGTGAAGGCATAATTTATTTACAGCTGAAAGGACCAACAATTCTTTAAGATAGTATCTCTCAGTGGGTCCTTCTTAGCCCATGATTATTCTTCTCTGTTGATTCCCCAACAGAAAACATCTGCTGTAACAATCATTCCTTATTAGTTTCCCAAGTCTTTATATATGCTTAAAATTCTATCTTTAGTTATCCAAGACTCTACTTTTACTATAAAGAATCTCTTTTCTGAAGAATATCACTCTTTATCCCTGGATATTTAGAGGGATATTCTTAGATTGATATCTGGAAATTTGCCAAACTGTTACAGTGGTTAATACATCTCTCAGAGCAAATTAAACAAATATAGATTGACAGATTTACAGGGCCCAATATTACAAGCCCTTACTTATGAGAGTAACCTTATTGAGCTGACTAGGATTCTTTCATGTGAATAATGGAAATTTGTGGATTAGGCTCCAATGCTGTAAACAGACGTATGCTTAACCTTAAGCATGTGCATAACCCGTCTGATTTCATTAGTTAAGTATGTGTGTGTTTGTAGGACTGAGGCCTTATGTGCCATTTTGGAATGCAAGCTTGAGCATTTCCCCCTTGGATCCATTAAAGTCAGTGGGATTGAGGGCCCTTGGCATCTCATTCAATTGAGTGTATAATAAGTAGAGCTGCCCAAATGGTTGGGGTGAGGAGGGGGGATTTGGTGGGGTTTTTTGTTTGTTTGGTGGTGGTTGTTTTATTTTGGTGTGTGGTGATGGGATTTTTTGTTTGTTTTCATTTGACCAGCAAACCAAAAAACAATTGCCTCGCATTCACCCCAAATAATTTTTTGTATTGCTTTCTCTGTAACATTATACCCTATACCCTTGTGGTTAGAGGACTCACCTGGGATGTTGGAGACTTGCATTCAAGTCCCCATTCTTTAACCAGTAGTCTCTAGGGTGGAGCTCTCTATTGAAGCTGTTCCACTTACTGTAAATATTCATACAGAATGACTCTGTATTAGCCTGGTGGTT